GGTTTGGTTTCAAGTGGTTTGGTTCATCCGGTTCAAGTTCAGTTCGGTCTGGTTCGTCACATTCCGGTTCGGTTTGGTTGATTTATACCGGTTTTGGTTCGGTTCGTTTGTTTCAATTCAATTGGTTTGGTTCAYTTGGCTCTGTTCAATTGGTTTGGTTCGATTCTCTTTTCTCCTTCAGATTTGGTTTGGTCTGGTTCTGTCGTTTTGTTCAAATAAGTTCGTTTGTTTGTTATGGCTGAGAAGAAATCAATCGTAACTTTTGAGGTGATCCCAATGATATAAAAAATCACAGAACACAAGTTGAATGAAGCACGAATAGATTATTTGTCAAACAAGTTGGGCATGATTAACATATATGCACCAACTTGAGGGGGTGTGTTAGAGTATATATTAGTATATTTTATATTCTTGTATTAATATTAATTTGTCATTTACCTTCTCCTTATAGGATTAGGTCAACCTTGTATATGTGTCTATACATTTGTCCTTAGTCTCTACACATGGAAATCCATATTTCAAAAAGGCATCTAAATAGGCATCTTAGGATACCTGGGCATCTCAAGATACCCAGTATCTAACATTACCACAAAACAAACGTAAGAATCCAGATGTCCGTCTCACGAAAATTTTGGATTCCCACAAAACAAACGGCCTCTTAGTGAGATCTTTTTCATAGCTCTACTCTAAAGATGAACATTTTACCCTTGCTAATCGAGCTGCTTTTGGAGACTAGACCGTTATTTGATTTCTTAAAATAATAGAGATTGATGCCATCTTATGTAATATTCAATTTTATAAGAATTTAAAACTGAAAAATAAATTATTTCTCTATATTAGTTATATAGTCATAACGTAGAAATAAAAAATAAAATAAAAAATTGACAACTTGATCATAATTAAAAGTAGTTTCATAGTAAGCCCCCGACTCATATTAGTGTCACGTGTAAAATAATAAAGTCTGTCTTGAAAAAATTGATTAAATACTAGTTATTAAAATTGTCTTTATTTTGCACCGGCCCTTGGGTTTCAAAAGTTGATCGTCCAATCCAATCAGATTTAGTTCGAGTTTTGCAAATGATATGGGATTCACTAATATTAAAAGAATATTTTTGTAAATTAAAAATTGTAATGTGAATAAAGGGAGTAATCTTTTAGTACCAGAAAATTTCTCTTACCTTATAACGAACTTGCATGCAGGTTAGATAAAATCTGTGTATGACTCAATGCTTCCATTAAAAAAAAAAAAGAAAATTAAAAAAATCTACTTCTTAGTTAACTATCTTAACATATCATAAATTGACTCAAGTTAATAATGCAAGTTTGTCGAATAACATTTTCATTGATTATTTCCAAATTATGAAGCGTATTTCTACTCCATCATATTAAAAGAAAGAAAAAGAAAATTATTATAAATAAAATGAGAAATAAAAAGTAAATTAGACTCCTGATAACATTTTCATTGTTTGATTTCAAATTTCATATACTTGTGCTTCTCTACATTCGAAAAGACACAAAGGAGAAAAAAAAAACACACAATAAATCGTTATTAAACATATTAGCTTCTCTTAAAAAAAAAACAAAAGACAACGTACTTAACAAGAAACAGAAAACTAGCTCAGATACTTCTACTACGGGCTCCTCAGATAACATTTTCATTATTCCTTCCCAAATCACGAAACATGTTTATGTTTCAATCGTATTTTACTTTCCATTTGGAAAACGAAGAAAAAAACCAACAAATGAAATGAGAAACAAAAAATAATAATATTATCCAACGAACCTTGACAGCTATGATTAGAAAATCATAGTAACACGGGGAAAAGAATTTCAAATGTCATCTTTTACCTTCTTCTTCTTCGTGAATGAATGAATATCCTTCTTCTAGCTAAAAGACTATTTACACTGATCTCGACCTACTTTTGCAGCCTTCGCTAGCTTAGTTACAAGGCCGCGAAGCCTGCGAGCTCCAGACCCTGGCTTGATCTTCAATGGGTTTCCAACTTTTGAGCATTTAGGCTTCCCAGAGCACCACCCACCAGGGGTGAAACCACCTCTATTATCAACCCCCAGTAGCTCCTGATCAATTTTGTCCAGCACCGGGTCGTCTCGCTGGAACTTCCGGGCAAAGGCGGCACCGCTGGCAATCATCTTTCGGGTGTCGTTGACGGTGAGGGTGTGAGGATGCTGCCGGGGCGGCACGTCCCACGAGATGTAATGCAAGTCATGGTTAACTGCAGTTTTTGCAAGCTCAGGCTCATTGCAGATCACAGTGTGGAAGTAGCCTTCTGGGGAGGACACAAAGTTCGAGTAGTACATCAGAAGTGTTCTGGGAAGGTTGTCCCAACCCCAGATGAGATACTCCACAAATGAACGAGACAGAACCATCCATGCTGATCCTGGAAGGAAAAAAAAAACATAAATTACCAAGTTTAATCTCTGAACTTTCAGGGTCGTGTTTAATGGATTTGTTATCTCATTACTGACCGGTGAATAACTTGAATGCCGTGGGTCGAGCTCGATGCGGGTGGACCCAAAATATATCTGATTTGGTTGTTTTGTATAATCCAGGGTCTATCATCAATGGCAAAGCTCGTTTACTCCTGCAATAGACATTCAAATATTGGAGTCATTTCACCATTTTAGGGAGAGAGATAGAGATAAAGACTAGAGATAGAGAGAGCGCTCACACTTTCCATCCTAACTTGCTTGTATGTTCAATGAAGTTCAGTTGTCTATCAAGTGGTGAGAATGTGTGGAGAAGATCTGAAAGTAGCACCAAAATTCTCCTTGTTAAATCATGCCAAACCAAAAAGGGAAGAAAAGAGATATAATAGTGATATAGCGAACAAGAACGCAGGGGAAGCATTTCTCAATCTTATACGTTTGATCAATAAATATTTAAACTTGGGTCTTTGTTTAAGGCTTGAACTCTCACTGAATTGACGGTGGGACAGGGTCGACAAGATCATGAGCAAGAAATTCATTCATTGTGGACACACAGGCTCTATATTGCCAAAATTTGAGTTAAAAGATGGAAATGGAACTGACCATCTTGAGTGATGAGAGGGTAGTCTGAGGCACTGAGGTTGATAAACCAATCCCAATCATTGCTCCTCTTGAGAAGAATAGCACAAGCATGGAGAGTATTAGCCACCATTGTTGGTCCTCTATAAGTGACCATATTTGCTTTGGTGATCATGAAAACATTCCCAATCTCAGCAAAAATAGACTCATTTGCCACTCTTGAAGCAAGCTCCAACCTCTCCTCTGGAGGTGACTCCAGGTCCAAATGAACAATGTATTGGTTCAATGGATGGTACAGCGCTTTGAGAGTTCTCCACAGCTTCTCCAAGTCCCCTTTCGACCCCGAGACCAAGTAAGCGAACCGCGGAATCATAGACGCAGGGTCTGGCGGTGGCGGTGGCAACTTCCCAACTTTCCTCTCGGCGAAAAACGGAGGGTTACTTTGGTTCGGGATCAATGGAGATGGGAACATTGAGAAGATTGAATTGATTGTGTGGAGAGAAGAGATTAGACCCATGTTGAAGGAAGTGGCAATGAGGAACATGCATATTACAGAACTTATCACAAGAGGAAATAGCCATTTCTTCTCTAGATGCCCCATTGCAGCAGAATCTAATCATAAGTTCTTGCAGATTAAACTCTCATCCGCTTGACGTTTTGCAACTCCAATCAACAGCCTTTAATCAAACATATTATTGGCATTTAGACTTCACAAAAAGAAAACGGTCAAATGAACAGAAAATTTCTGAAATTGTAGACTTAAAAAGGCTCCAATATCTAACATAATTCTCCTTTTAACAAAGCAACAGGAGTTTTCTTTGATGAAACAAAGTGAAACAAGTCCAAATAACATCGATTTTGGCCATATTGGCAAAAACTCTGCTGAAATGAGCTCCCAAACCTCCCTCTCTCTCTCCAAAGTTCTAGGAATCCAAATGAATGAAACAGTAACAAGCCCTAATCTGTACAGTCTGTAAGAAGTTGCAGATTCACATGGAACATTCAGAAAACATATTTTTCATATCACCAATGGGAATGCAAAAACAAGCACAACCCAGATGAGAAAATCGATTTCTCAAATCAACCCAGAAACCCAAATCAAAAAACAAAAACAAAAACAGAGCTCAGTGCCGTCACACGACAAACAAGAACACAGAGAAAAAACCCAACAATACCCAGAAACAGTCGCAGCAGTGAGACCCCAAGAACAGCAGCAGTCTGAATAAAAACCAGAAGACAATCACAATCAGAATGAGGAAGAGGAAAAAGAAGAAATACAAGAAGCGGGGGCTAGGCAAAGGAGCAGAACCTGACATGATTAGCCTTACGCACGTCCAGAGAAGAAGAACAGAGAATCATAAAAAAGAAAAAAATTCAATGGATTGAGATATGGACTGAGAAACAGAAAGTCAGATGTGAATATTATAAAAATGTGGACAAATCAGAGAAGGGGAGGACGTGGGTGGGTGCGCAATGGTGGGAGGGAGAGGAAAAACGAAAAAAGGAATTGTTTTTTGGGGAAATGGAAATGGAATCTAATCTCACAGAAACTTGGGGTTAGGCATTTCTGTTATGCTGTGGCTTTCTTTGGGATCTTCAATCTTGACCAAGACAAACGGCTACTTTACAAACAATTGCTTCCTCTTCTAATTCTCCTTAAATTTCTAAACTTTATTTAAAAAAAAGTTAAGAGATGATTATGAGATACAATATAAAATTATAAATTTAAACTCTTTGAGGTACGCTCTCTAGTTTGTTATCTACTATTTAAAAACGTTATATAAAATATAAGTAAAGTTTTGAAACCTAAAAAGAAAATAGTTTTCATTTTTTTTTTTTTTTTTGGAATTTGGCTTAAGAGTGAAAATATATATTTAATAAAGGGTGAAAAAAATACTATCTAAATTGTTAGCAACCATACCTAGTTTTCAAATATGAAAAAATAAATGGAAAGGGTTATCTAACAACCTCAATGATATTTAAAACGTTTGAAAGTATAAAAAATCTAATGAATAAAATCTTGAAAGTTTAGGGTGTGTTTGGTTGGCAATCCAACAGATTTATTTTTAAAAATTATTCTCGGATTCCTATAATCTAAACCGGTGAAATTCTGAAAATAATATTTTGTGTTTTCAGATTTTGAATTTGGAAGTTTAAAATATAGAGTTATATTAAAAAATAAATAAAATTTTTGATAAATATATTATTTCATGTTATAAATTCATGTTATCTTTGTTAAAATTAAAATGTTTCAAATATAATATATTATAGATTATATAACATTGTAAAATAATAATTACACAAAAATTGTAACAAAAATATTAATAAATTAATTAATAATAATTTAAATTAAACTAAATATATAGTTGGTAATTACCCTTAGTTTACAAATATATTTCAAAATACACGTTGAACAAATTTTTAACTTGAAATTCAATTTTCCAATTTGCTATCGAATACATATATGAAAACGCTTAAAACAAATAATACAAACTCTGTTTTATATTAAGTCTCTTAATTTCATATTTCTGTTTTCTGATCACCAAACAAACAGACCTTTAAGATTTTATTATCTTGGTTCGAGTCAAATCATATATTTTGTATCTTTCTTAACCTTTAAGCTGACGAGTCCTTTTTTTCCCGTTATTAAGCTACTAAGTGGTACATGCGATTAATGGATACTTTTAATTACCAATTGTTGATATCATGTTATCTAAATATATATATATATATAATTAATGTGGTCAATTATTTTTTTCTTTCGTCAAAGTGAGTATAACTCAGCCATAATTGATATATATTTCAAATCAAGAGATTCTCCCACCCCAATATATTATACTAAAAAAAATGTTTTTTTTTTATATTAAATTACTTGTTTATTTTATTCCACTCCACAGATTTTCCAAAAGATAAAATGAAATTGAAACATTTAAATCTAGGTTGACGCAAATGTAAAAGTATAGAATTATATAAAGTTTATTATATTTTAGTCCATAAACTGATTTTGTTCTTATCTCTTTTTTTCTTTAATTGTTTGAGTAGTATTTACGTTGACATGAATTATTAAAGTCCCATAATAAAGTTGGTTGAGAGATGGGTGCTGGGTTGGGTGGAAATTAACTGCAAAATAACCTTAAAAAAAAACTAACAACGAAAATAACTATAATAGTTACTTTATGACGGCTAAAATATTAAAATAGATAGTTTAAAATTTTCCTTAATCAAACTAGAAAAACATATATTTTTTCAATATGATGAAACAAAATTATTACAAAGGCATTGATGTAATTTAATGGATCGATCCATTTATAGAAAGCACTTATCGGTAAAATAGTATTCAATATTATGTTTTTCAAAGCTATTTGTTTTGGTTTTTCAAAACGGTTACGAGCATGCGTAGAGAGAATAATGTTTGTATATGTTATACGTATTAGTTATATCTTTTTTTTTTCTAATAAAAAAAGACATAAAAAACAAAATTACTAAATCAAATCCAGGCATTCTGAAAACTAATGTCATCGTGATATCCTAGTTCTCTCTTGTAATTACTAATAAAATAAAAGTCTCTATCATTTATTAATTAGTACTATGAAAGAAAGAAGTCACATGAGTGTTTGCCAAACAGAGACGGTGACATATCATATAAATTTATTATTATAAAATACCTTTTTCCAAAAATTGTAATCTAAATTGCCAAAAAAATTTACTACTCACAAATATGTGATTATGGGATTTTTTTTAATATTACTGGTTTTTAAACTTATTTTAAAAATAAGTGAATTATTCCGCCACCAGAGACAACTTAGTCTTTTTTAAATATATTTTTTTAATAGTAATTAATTTTATTTTATGAGAGAAATAAATTTTAGACGACATGAGTATAATTGGACGGTTGAGGTATCTTGCTTCTCTCTACAAATCTGAACTTCAATCTCTCATTCCACGTGTTGTACTCAGGAAGAGAAGTGAGATTTTAATAGGCAATACTTATTTCAATTTGTTTAAAAGAAAAAAAGGGTTGAATATAGATAGTTTTAGGAGAGAAAGAGAGATTTTAATAGGTCATATTTATTTAATTTTTTATTATTAAAACTATAATGCTTTTTTATTATTTGATTTTAAGAGAGGGAGAAAATTGAGTTATACCTATCTATATTTGTTTAAAATGGAAAAAAATGCAATATAGCATAAAGAAAAAAAATTCAGTACGGATGACTAGGTACATTAATTATAGATTTTTTATTTAAAAAATTATAGCTTTTTTTTAATAATAATTATTGTTTAAAAGAAATTGCAGTCTAATCTAACATTTAATTTGTTAAAAAAGAATAAATATGAGGGTGTTGAAGATTGGGGAGGTTTTTTTCTTTTCAACTTAACAATGGTTAAGACACTTGTTTTTGGTCGGGCTGTCACTTATAGTACACGTATTTAGAGGCGACTTAGTGGTGGAGGAATTTATGAAACTTAATTTTTTGAATAAGTTTGGGTTTGAGAATACTTTTAAAACATGAGTAATATTAAAAAATACTCTTCTACCTCGCTTCAAATATTTTAAAATTACTCTTTCTCAAGAGAATTTTTTTTAAAAGTTACTTGTAGATATTTATTTTAGAATCAAATCACGATATCTCTACTCAAATTTATTGAGATGAGATATATTACTAACTAAATTTAAAAGACAGGCAAACATAAATCAAGCTGTTGAAGATGCTAAGCATTAAACTCTTTTTTTTAATAAGATACTAGAGGGTGGAGATTCGAACTTATCAGTTCCAGATAAAAATTAAATACTTTAATTAAACCAGTTGAATTATGCTTAAATTGACACATTAAATTTCAAGTACGTGAGTTACCAATAACTATTCTTATTTCTTTTATACTTATTGGTATAAAAATAAAATTTTATAAAAAAATAAAGAATGTAAGTCGGATATTCTCAACTTAATTTTTTAAATAATATTTTCTTCAACACTTTTTAAACAGCGAACGCCTAAAATAATTTATTTTCAATTTATACATACATTTTTTGTATTTGTTCGTCTAATTATTATTGAAACTTTCAAAATTTATCTTTCTTTCCGATTTATATAAGGCAATTATTTTTCTATGAATTATTGTATAGATATTTTTTTTCTTTATCTATAAAGCATCAAATTTTTTAGATTTGCTATTGTTATTCATTAGTTGAATTTCGCAGAGTCAATAGAAATCACAATTTGGAGATTAATTGTTTAAGGAACATTTTTCATTTTTTTTTTGTTAACTTTTGAATTTGAAGTTATTTTAAATAATAGTAGTTAAAAAAGCTCCTCTCAATAAATTTATGGATTTACCACTTCTAAACACACGTTCCATAACAAAAATACAAATTTTATTTTTTATTGAATACTTTGTTTTTATATTTATATTTTTAGATCACTAACTAAAAAAATAACAATAATATATAACTTTTTTTTCTTTTTAATTTCTTGCAAGTATTATTAACGTTTAAATCAATAGGGCTTTATTTCTCTACTATTTTCCATCCAAAGAAAACTTTGCATAATTTTGTTCTTTACCCTTAAATTACATTTTATAAAATAGTAAAGAGATTATTGTTATTATTATTATTTTATGCATGATGACATATTTGTTTATTAATAATAATTTTTCTTTAACCAGTAAAAATAAATTTTAATTTGATCCTTTGAATTTCATCTTGAATATGGTTGAAATACAAAATAAAAAATTAAATTTTACACCAAAAAAATAAATTAAAGAAAAAAATAGTTCGCCTAAGCTGTTATATTTTTCAAAAACAAAAAAAGAAACTTAGAACTTCTTATACATGGAGTGTTACAATATTTATCTTCACATTTAATAAATGTTATATTTTTACTTTCTAGTAACTTTTTATTCGAAGAATCGTTTAGAAGATATATTTATAACGTGTTCGATCACTTATAAAATATTTGTGGATTTCAAAAGAAAAAACTTAAATTTTCTAATTGAAATTTCTGAGCTTAAGAAAATATTTTCGTAGTTGATCATGTGATTAATCAAACTTAATTTCATATGAAGACTGAGTTTTTATTAAATTCGTAAAATTTTTGAAAATTATTGACATTATTTTTCGGTAAAATTAGTTAACGGGAGCAGAAACGATCTAAAGTCTAAAGAAAATTAATTAATTAAAAAGAAGAGAAAAAGAACGTAGGTAGTGGGGCCCACGATTTGCCAACGTGTCCTCGCAAAGGGCGCAAGAAAATCCACGTCTTAACACGTGGGGGGCTGACGGAGACAGAGTCACAGAATCTCATGACATAAACGAGGAAATTCAAGGGTACAAATGTCATTACACATTTCCAGTGGACAAAACCGGTCAGATATTTATTTCTGAGATCGAACCACGCGTCTCTTGTTTCTTCGTATTCACACCAAAAAATCAAATAATTACTTTTTTTCCCTTATCTATTATTTCAAATTATATATTTTAGTTTTTAAAATTTCAATAATATCCACCTGTTCGTCTTAATTTTTTTCTTTTTTTTTTTGAGAAACATGTCCATCTTAATTAATCTTGTACATGCTTGGATTATAATAGCGATATATATTTGAAAGTCGTCTTATCTATTTGTTAGAAATTTCGTGAAAATAGTAAAATTAAAATCATTATTTTTTAAAATTTATAAACCAAAAAATATTGAATAAACTTGARAATAATAATCTTCAAAATTTGTAGGCCGAAAAGAACTTAATACTTTTCTTTTCTTTTCTAAAAATAATATAAAGTTAAATTTGTAATTTTAGTATCTGAATTTTAGGGGAAGATTTACTTCCAACTTTAAATAATATYTTAACCAATTAAGTTAGACAAATTTTTTAAACTTTAAACGAGTTTCTTTTATTATTTTTTTACTTATTTCATATTATTAATATTAAAATCAGTATGGTGAGTTTTTTAGTGTTGGGATTTAACTTTTAACTAGTACGTGGCTACCAATTTTATTTATTATTATATAAATTAATGATATTAATTATTAATAAATAAAGATATTAAATGCAATTTCTTATATCCTTTCTTTGTGAATAATTAATATCATAATTTCTTATATTAGGATGATGATTGGTCCGTAATTAGTCGAGGTATGTACAGAYGGATACGGCACACAGATTTCAAAAAAGAAAAAAGAAAAGAAATACCATCTCTTATACGGTAATTATGGATAAAATTTTCGTCAATAAGGATATCAATATCACTTATAATAATCAACGATATATATCAGGAAATAGCGTGAGATATATGGGGAATGTCATCTTTTATAGAATATCGCGTATATTGGAAAATCAAGTATCGACGATTTTTGTTAAAAATTAAGTTTTTGTTTTACTTTTTTGGTTATCAAACCCAACATTTCTTTGTCTAAAAAAAGAAAAAAGAAAATCCCCAATTTTTTATTTTGTTTTTGTCTTTTTTCCCCCGAATTCCTCTCCAGTTCCAATTCTCTCTACTATAGTTTTGATCTCGTACTCTTTCTAATTTTTTTTTCTTTCTGGTTCTTTTTAATTTTTTATTACATTGACTCCTAAAATAACAATATAATATTTATTCGAATTATGTTTAGGTTGACTCCGTTCATAGATAACGAATCAATTAAAATTTTAATTGTGTCAATTTAAGCATAGACCCTTTTTATAAGCTATAGGTTTAAATTATACATTTTTATTTATTTAAGATATAATACTATTTGAAAAATAATCAAGATTTTTATTTTGTTAACAATAATAATTGATACTTATTTACCGTGGATGATTATAATTGAGATGATGAAGACACCAATGAACTCTTTTTTAGTAAAAAGATTGACCAAACGGAGGATAAGAACTTAATTTTTTATTTTTTTAACGGAAGTTAAAAAAAAAGTTGCTACCTAGAACTTAAAATTTATTGATTTTTTAATTAATTTTTTTAAAGGAATTTATGTTTCCTCAAAAAAAAAAATTATATGTATTAAATTGCATTGACTAGTTAAAGAAATTTCTAGAAGTACTAACAAGAAAAAAAAATTATACAAGATTGTAATATTTATAATTTGTTTAATATTATGGTTGATGGTCATCGAGCGTAATACATTTTTAAAATCCTAATAAWTTTTTTTTTACAACATGTGGACTAAGGATCAAACTTACAAATATATGTCAATTACCGCTGAACTTGCTCGCTGTTGATGCAAAAATCCGTCGAAGTCTAAGAAGATGATGGGAAAGTAAGCTATAGATTCTCATACCTAGGTGTATTTATAGGGGTTTGAGGAGTAGTTACCCATCCCATTGGGATATTTCACCGTTTTAGGGTCAAGTGACCTGCTATGGACCGTTGGTCCGTATTGGTCTCTGGATTTATCCGTGCCTTGGAGCATAATACTTGGAAGGTTCCCATCTGCGTCTAAATAACCAGGTCCGACCTCTGAGGTCGGTCTAGGATCTTTGGAGAATAGTTCAGCTTGCGACAGTTTGTCCTCAAATATTAAAATGAGCAATTTTAGATAAAAAGATACGTTCAAATATTCAAAATTTTAAAGAGAGAAAAAAAAAAGTCAAATGTATTTTTTAGATAAAAAAAGGTCAATGTTTATGTTAGTATACGATTAAAGTTTTTTTGTTGTAACTGATAATTAAGATTCCATTACTCAAAAAGTCAAATTTATTATTAACTATTATTAACACTGTCCTTTTAACGTTTCTGTATTTTAATTAAAAAAATAATTTAATTTCTCATGATTATTCATTAAAAAAAGAAATCTGAATGATAGAAAAAAAAACCCTAAACCTCTAGTATTTTTTAAGATAAAAGCTCCCATCTTTTCAATTATTCTAAATTGGCCCTTTTCCAACCCTAATTTTTTATATTTCTCTAAACTATCAACATATATTTGAATTAAAAAAAACCATCCGCCACCCAACAGTTAATTCCTTACTATTCGCCTGTCGGGAAAAGGGATATGTTTAATTTTTCGAGCAAAAATTTCATCTTTTTATTTTTATTTTTGTTTGATATGGATTATATCGTGACGAATTTTAGAAATGATTGAAAATAATTCCATGATTTGGTATTTGGTTTCGCCATTTGGTTCTATATTTGTCTCGCTTGCCCATGAATCCGAGGAGAAATGGAAAATGGGATTAATTTTTGGAAATGGGAAAAAGAAAGAAAATGAAATCGAAAACCCATAAATAAAGAAATCAAAATCTGCGAGCAGAAAAGGTAGCAAATTCATTAATATATAGAGACTAGTCTCCTCCGTTTTCTCTCTCTCGCAACGCCTCTATTAGAAGAAGAGAGAGACGGAGAGAGAACTGGTCTGAGATTAAAAATAGAGGGCGAGATCTGAGTCTGACCCCTTTCTTCTTTTTTTCCCTTCTGGGGTTTTTTTTGTCTAAATTCGGAATTCGAGATCCCTTCGTTCAAAAAGGGTCGTCTTCTCGTTCCTCCTCTTCCCTCTTTGTGTTATCTATCCGCTTCCATTCCTGGTAATTATTCTTTATGTTTCTGTTTATGCTATTCGTTTATGCGGAATTGATATTTCTGATTCTCTGTTTTTTCGGCTTTTATGTTGTGTAATTTCGTGTGATTGGACTCGATCTTTCATCATCTGGGTGTTATGTTTTGTTATTCCATGCCGTTTCCTTAATTGGGTCATCCCTTTTTGGGTTATCGTGGTCGTGTTCGTGCCGGTTGGTTTTCGTCGGTAATTGTTGAATCTAACGAAGAATTTCCATGGGGGATTTTTGGATGATATTGCGTCGTGTTAATTGAGCTTGTTTCTGGTTTTTTGCTTTTGTCGTTCTCTGGATATTGCTTTTGATACAGGCCTCGATTTTTCTTTGCTGTTATAGATTTGGCATTCTTATTTGGGAGATCTGCTCGTTGGAAAAAGCTGAAATTTCCTTTTTGGTTGGGTTTATTGTGAATTAAAATCTGTTCTAAACGATGCCCTGGTCAATTGATTGTTAATGTTTTGTTTGGATTCTTTCTTTTTAACCAAATGGGGGGTTTTGATATCTCAATTATAGGTTATATTGTTTTTGCCTTGTTGTATCAGGGTCTTTAGTTCCCTGTGCTGGGAGCTATGGGTGTTGAGGTTATTGGATTCGAGATGGTCAAGGGACCGGTGGATTCGGTACCTGTAGACGAAAATTCTGTTTTGAAAAGCAATGAAAATGGAGATTTAGATCAACTGCCTGAACAAAATGCGCCCATAAAGTTTGGTTCTCATGAAGATGAGCCTGTTAAAGAGCAGGCAGATACTCCATCAGGTGCTAACGTTCCGAAAGATGCTGCTGATGAATGGCCTGCACCTAGGCAAATTCATTCCTTCTACTTCATAAGGTATCGGTCCTACGAGGATCCGAATATCAAGGCTAAAATCGATGTGGCCGATAAAGAAATCCAGAAGAGGAGTCAAGCTCGTTTTCAAATCACTGAAGCACTCAAGGCAAAGAGGGTAAGAAAAATGGTCCTGTATGAGTTTTTCGATATATAGAAGATTGGAGCTTTAAATGAATATGGCAGTATAAGTCTTTTTCTAGGGGGCAGCATTTGATAATGAAACAATTTCTTATTTCCTTCTTGTATAAGGTTCCTTTTCTTTAAGCATCATCACTTAAAGAAAAGGTTTTTTTATTTTCTCCCATTTTTATGTGATGACTGCATGTGAAGGGAAATAATCTGATTACAGCATGAGGTCGAACGAAGCCTATATTTAGTTGGAATAGAAGTCAGTTGCTCAAATTCGAAAGGGTTCTAATCCTATACACAAGATATAATTCAAATTTGGAAGGACTATTATTGTCCTCCATTGTCAAGGTTGCTCCGATGGCTTGCATGAAATTCTAGATATGGTAATATTGCTGTCATGAAATCTGAAAGCTCCCAAACCCATGCTAGCATCTTTATGGTAGATTTAGAAGTTCAATCTGTAGTATGACCTTTCATTGTACGTACTTATTTTCTTGTGTTTAATCTTACTACTACTTCCACAGTCGGATCGGGCAGAGTTGATTACTCAGATGAAAGCTCTGAGAGATGACAACCGGCAATTTAAGTCGATTGTTGATGAGAAAATTAAGGAGATTGAACCTCTTAATCAAGCTCTTGGCAAGCTTCGTAATGCAAACAATGGTGGTCGCAATGGTGGTCTATGTTCATCTGAGGAAGAGCTTAATGCTGTTGTAAGTTTCGCTATAATTTCTTAGAAAATATCAAAATCATTAATTTATTTTCCTCTGCATTGACTTCTTCCTCTTGATTGCATTTGGGTTGGCGGCTGCAGATTCAGAGCCTGCAATACCATATACAACATGAGAGTATTCCGCTCTCTGAGGAAAAGCAAATTTTAAGAGAAATTAAACAGCTAGAAGGGACAAGGGAGAAGGTTATTGCTAATGCTGCTATGAGAGCAAAGCTTCAGGATTCAATGGTACATAAAGAAGCTCTCCAAGACCAAGTCAAGGTAAGAAACCGTCAAGTCGAATCCAATTCTGTTTTAGCCTTCATGCCAATAAACTTAATGCAGATGTCTTACAAATCATGCTAATGTAGATTATCGGTGGCGATTTGGATGGAGTGAGGAAGGAGCAACAAGCAGTTAGAGCCAAGATAAAGCAACTTGATGACGCTTTGAAGGCAATAGACAATGATATTAAAAAATTGCAGGATGAGCTAACTGCTGTGACAGAGAAGAGAGGCAGAGCTCATGAAAACATTCAGCAACTTAGGAAAAACCGTGACGAGGGGGTGTGTTGGATTATTTGATCTAACCAATTTCAGTCTAATAACTGTTTACATTGTTCTCTATGAGGCAGTTGGTGCTAGTTCCGGCAGCTGTGATAGAATATTAAATCATCACACCTGAAGGAAATATTTAGCATAAATTTGACAGACTAAATAAGATAATTTGGATTAGATTAATTAGGTGAAAACTGTATAGAAGTACGGAGGATATTGAAAATATGAGTTCAATTAAGTAATGTCCATGCCTTCAGTCCTGTTATTGGAGCACTTCTTGAAAACGCTAGCTGGGATTTGTGTGTTTTGAATGTAACTATTCAATCATAACATGAAGTTTCAGCCAAAACTAAAAATACAGAAAAAAATGTAGAGAAGTATAGAGTTTGAAAATGATGTTTATATATTTCAAATATAATTATGTTACTTTCTTTTAGTATTCATCTGGTCGAATTTTAATCAGGTTTGAAACGCTAATGGGTTTGATTTGATTGTTGTCTGTGTTTTCCAGAATGTCTTCTTTTATCAAAACCGATCGCTCTTGAACAAAGTTAAAGACCTTGCTGCAAAGAAGGACATCAAGGCCCTTGAGGAGCTCTCTTATGAAGAGGTCTGTTGAACTATTTGTTAATCTTATTTACCCAATTGTCCATGCCTTCACTTTTTGACCTTCGAACTTTTGTTGTTTAGGTCGAGAAGTTTATGTCCCTCTGGAATGGTGATAAGGCTTTCAGGGATGACTATGAGAAAAGAATTCTTTCATCGTTAGATGGTCGGCAGTTGAGTCGGGATGGTCGGATAAGGAACCCTGATGAGAAGCCAATAATTGCGCCTGCAGAACTGGCGCCTCCTCAAGCTGAAACAGCAGCAAAACCTAACCTTAAACGAACTAAGGAAGAACCCAAACCAGTTCCATCTGAGACTGTTCCTGCACAGAAAGTTGATAAAGAAATTAAATCCAAAGCTGAAAAGGCATTACCCTCGGAGCAGGAGGATAAAGCTGAGGAGATCCCTGCTTTAGAAAAGTTGTCAAAAGACATCCCTAAAGAAAAAGAAGTTGATGTAGCGAAATTGAAGGAAATGAAGAGGGCTGAGGAAATTGAGAAGGCTAAACAAGCCATGGAAAGGAAGAAGAAATTGCTAGAGAAAGCTGCTGCAAAAGCCTCTCTACGAGCTCAAAAGGAAGCAGAAAAGAAACAGAAGGAAATTATTTACATACATCATATAGCTGTCATTTGTGAACACACTGTTCTTAAGTTTACATCTTGATAATAACACATATTTCTGTATTTACCTCAGGACCGCGAAAAGAGAGCAAAGAAGAAGGCCTTAGCATCTGCCTCTGCTGTTCCTGATGAAGAAACTCCTGCTACTGATGCAGTTGAGGAGGAATCTAAAGAACTGGAACAGGTTAGTGAAAATGCAGAAGCTCCAGTTCCAGCCAAGAATAACGTCGCAAAGGAGATGGGCATCAGGAGCCGGGGCAGGCAAAGAGGGCTGGATTCAGTTCCTAAAGTCATCAGGAAGCGCAAGAAGTCGACCAACTACTATATCTGGGCTGCTCCTGCTGCAGTTCTAGTTCTGGCACTTCTGTTGCTTGGGTACTACTACTCTACTACTCTCTCTAAAAAACTGTGAAGCTAGGAGAGTTAGAAGAGGGAAAAATTTTCTGGTGATGAGCATGCTGAGCTGATGAGGATGATGATGATGAGAGTGGCTTAGAGGATCAGTTTGTATTTTTAATTTAATGTTCTTTAATTTCTGTTTATTTTCATCCTTACTGGGGATGGACTCAACTCATAATGGTTGGCATTTTTAGTCAGGTTGAAACATACATTTGGTTCTTTCAATGTATTTCCAAATTTTGACTTTGATCAACCTCTTTTGCTGTTATATCTTGAGGCCTCAAATTTCCCTTTTTTTTTTGTTTGTAATAGATGAATGGGGCTTGGCTTTTTGCCACTTTACTGTGTTTTCAAACAGTTCGTGCTTGCAGGAGAAGAGGAAATGAAGCTCCACTGACCTTGTTTTCTTGTAGCACAACTCCTTAGGTTTTGTTTTAGAATGTAAACTGGTTTTTGGATGAGTTTTTAGAGGGAGTGTTTGGGAGGGATTTTGTCAAAATACTTCCATTTTCTTTCTTTGGTGATTTTGAAAAATTAATTATATTTAAATTTATTTTTTCAAAATTACTCATTATACCGTCACTTCTAAACACATTCGTGAAATTATAAAGTTAAGTTCATATGATGTGGGTTTACTCGTCTATTATTTGACTGTTTGCTGTTATATAAATTCAAAGTTCTCATATTTATTTCAATTTATTTTAGTTTCTGAATTCAAGTTTATTCTACCTTTAGTTGTAAATCACCCAATTAAGTATCTTTCTTTGAGAGTCAAAAGTTCGGATCTCGAGTTGTACTATGAAAAAACATAACATATATTAGGCATTCATATAGTAATGATTGTTTTTTCGGTCAAGCTTTAGAATTAAAAGTAAGTAAATTTTAAAGTTAAAATAGAGTATAAGAACCAAAAAGATACAAACTTGTAATTGGATTTTTATTTTCCATTAAAAATTAGATTTGTTTTAATATGTGAAATTAGTTAAAGAAGAGAAATATGAAAATGTTTATATAATTGATTTTGGAAATAATGGGAAGAGATATTTACGAAAATGTCCCCAGGCCCACTGGTGGTATTCCCAGCCTCAATCGAACGTTAACGAAAGTTCAAATTCAAATTCATCCTCCAGTCCTCGCTACTCCGCTCCGCCTCCATTTCCGTTCTTCTTCTTCTTCTTCGCCACTACTCCAATGGCTTCCTCCAATTCTTTCTACGCTACGCCGACCAAAACCCCTGTAGAAAAGTCGTCCAGAAAGGCTCAGAGCTCCAACCGGGTAGACGCGTCCGAGTCCAGATCCCGATTCGAAGCCTACAATCGCCTCCAGGCAGCCGCTGTGGCGTTTGGTGAGAAGCTTCCGATCCCTGAGATCGTCGCCTTGGGTGGCCAATCCGACGGCAAGAGCTCTCTCTTAGAAGCCCTCCTAGGGTTCCGCTTCAATGTCCGCGAGGTCGAAATGGGTACACGCAGGCCTTTGATCCTCCAGATGGTCCATGATCCTACCGCTCTCGAGCCCCGCTGCCGGTTTCAGGTCTCATTTAATTCTTGGGGGTTTTGAGTTGTGAGTTGTTCGGATTTGTTGCAGGATTGTATTTGTAGTAATCATGGGCGTACTGATTTGATTTATGGGGTTTAGTTTGATTTTTTAATTATGCGACTTGTTTGTTCGTGGGGAACAGGAGGAAGATTCTGAAGAATATGGAAATCCTGTAGTTTTAGCATCTGCAATTGCAGACATTATAAAGTCTCGAACTGAGGCACTATTGAAGAAGACTAAAAGTGCAGTTTCTTCCAAGCCAATTGTGATGAGAGCAGAATATGCACATTGTCCCAACCTTACCATTATCGATACCCCTGGCTTTGTTCTTAAGGTTTGGTTTAGAGATTGTTCATGTTTGATTCCTTCAACTTGATATCCTTTCTTTTCTTACTCTCAATGATCTATTGGTACTTTTTGGCAGGCTAGGAAGGGGGAGCCGGAGAACACACCGGAAGAAATTCTTTCAATGGTGAAGTCACTCGCAAGTCCTCCCCATCGTATCCTCTTGTTCCTTCAACAAAGTAGCGTAGAGTGGTGTTCATCATTGTGGTTGGATTCCATTCGTGAAATTGATCCAGCTTTCAGACGGACAATAGTTGTAGTCTCCAAATTTGATAATCGTCTTAAGGTACGAACTGACAAACTTTTTAAAACTCATTCCCTTAAAGAAATATTAGATGAGAATTTTATATCATAAAGTTATGACCAATTCCATGAACATGAAACCAAGAAACTGACTGAAATATGTACAGCAGCAGAAATTCAGTGATCTTTATCATATGGGTAAAAGTTTATGATCTTTTCTTCCGCGTGTTTAGGAATTCAGTGACCGATGGGAAGTAGATAAATATTTGAGTGCCAGCGGTTACCTTGGAGATAACACACACCCATTTTTTGTGGCCTTGCCAAAGGACAGAAATACTGTTTCTAATGATGAGTTTCGCCGCCAAATATCTCAAGTAGATTCCGAAGTTCTTCGTCACCTACGTGATGGTGTCAAGGGAGGATTCGATGAAGAGAAGTTTAGGTCTTATATTGGTTTTGGCTGCCTGAGGGAGTATTTAGAATCTGAGCTTCAGAAGAGGTACAAGGAAGCTGCTCCAGCAACTTTGGCTTTGCTAGAGCAGCGTTGTGGTGAAGTTGCATCTGATCTATGTAGAATGGATACAAAAATTCAGGCTACTTCAGATATTGCACATCTTAGGAGATCTGCTATGCTGTATACAGCTTCTATCAGTAATCATGTGGTGAGAAATTCCTTGACGTTGATATTTTTATTGTTGTAGGTTATTATTAACATATATTTGTAATATTTTCTCTGGACTTTTGTATTTGGGTCATCGACATTTCAAAGCTTCAAAATTGTGAATAATAGAACTTTTTCAGCAGTTCACCATGCATCTGAGCTGCAGATTATCTATCTGCTTTTGCTTGAATTTTCTACATCGTGGATTCAATCTATTTGAAGTGTTTGTTTGAAATGTCTGATCTTTTACTTAAATATCTTTCTGTCATACTCATTAACTTAGCCGCCTTCTAGTTCTAGTTTAATAAAATAATCTATACTATTCCTCTATGGTATAGAGCGCATTGATTGAGGGAGCAGCAGATCCTGCTCCAGAGCAATGGGGGAAAACTACTTTGGAGGAACAGTCAGGAAGTGGCAATGGAAGTTGGCCTGGTGTTACATCAGAGGTGAAACCTGCAAACTCTACTCTTCGGTTGTATGGTGGTGCTGCTTTTGAAAGAGTAATGTTCGAGTTCCGATGTGCTGCTTATTCCATTGAGTGCCCTTCAGTTTCAAGAGAGAAGGTAAGAATGACCCGTTATTCAAATTTGATTCATTTTTAAAATCTAACTTTTGCTTAAGCTCCTTTGCTCTATGGAAACAGGTAGCAAACATATTACTTGCTCATGCTGGCAAACGTGGAGGTAGGGGATTAACAGAAGCAGCTGCAGAGATTGCCCGTGCAGCTGCACGATCGTGGCTTGCTCCTCTTCTAGATACTGCTTGTGATCGTCTTGCATTTGTATTGGAAAATCTTTTTGATCTTGCTCTGGAAAGAAATCGTGCCTATGAATCACAAAGTAAATAAACTTTTCCCAGTTTCCCTACATTTATTCACTCTATTTGGCTTTTTTTTAATCTCTTTGTTCTTACTTATACAGCACTTCATTTTTGACTAACCTATAATCATGGGGGAGTCGGAAACTCTATAGTAATGCAGGGAACAATCTTTTATATTCTCTTCCATTTTTTTGGTGAAAAAAACCCTGCATTCTGGTTAATTTATGGTTGATGCCTTCTAAAACTGAGGTTTTGGTTTTCAGATGGGAAGAAGCACTGTAACATGGATGGCTATGTTGGTTTTCATGCTGCTTTAAGGCATGCTTACATCCGGTTTCTGAAGGATCTTGCTAAACAATGCAAGCAACTACTTCGTCACCACCTCGATTCTGTTACAAGCCCATATTCACTTGTCTGCTATGAGAACGACTTTGAAGGAGGCTCTTTCCAGAAAATCAATCGGGCCCCTGCAGGTTTGTTTTCATTTGAATTATCTGATTCTGGAGCAGTATCTCATGATGAAACGATGAAGGATCAGGAGAACATACCTCCAGAAAGGAACATACAGCAGATAACACCAGGAAAAGGTACAGAATCTAGAGAAGCCCTTCGAGAGTGCCAAATCACTGTTCCGGAGACTCCATCACCGGAGCAGCCTTGTGATGCTGGGTATGGAGTAAAGAAGGAATTTGGGAATGGGATGGATATTGGAGTTCGGAAAAGGGCTTCACGAGTGACCAGAACTTCTAACCGGATAAGCGGTCAAGATGGTGGGGGAACTTTATTTGGTAATGGTGATGGCAGTTCAAGATATAGCTCAGCCTACAAGGAAATTTGCTCATCCGCAGCACAGCATTTTGCCCGGATTCGTGAAGTTCTCATAGAGCGAAGTGTGATGTCTACATTGAATTCTGGATTTTTAACACCTTGGTAAGCTGACTATTATACCCAAATTTGTTTGAAGTTGTTAGATATTTCAATGTTTTCAATAGGGTTTAGAAATATAATATGATTGTGGGGCTAAAACTGAAACTATTTGATTTTCTTCGAGAAAGAAACCCCACAAACAAATGATTTAACTTTTGTTCTTATATGTGGCGATTTGCAGTCGAGAAAGACTGGTAGTGGCACTTTGTTTGGAATTATTCGCCGTGAATGACGAGAAATTCACAGACATGTTCGTAGCTCCGGGTGCTATTGAGGTACTTCAGAATGAAAGACAGTCTCTCCAAAAGCGTCAAAAGATACTACAGACATGTTTGAATGAGTTCAAAACTGTAGCTCAATCACTTTGTTGACGGTTCAATGGACTTGAATTAAGGCTATTCTTCCTCACTTCTAAAGAATACCATAATATTTGCGTCCCTGGCGGCACAATACCATAATATGTGAAGCTTGTATTCTCTTCTTGAGATACTTCAGAAAGGCAATCTCTCCTGAAGCATCAGAAAGATTATAAGAATGTTTGAATGAGTTTTAAAGTGCAGCTCAATCACTTTGTTGGCTCACTTGACCTGCATCAAGGCTATAAACTCCCTGATTTCACTTATGAGAGCATCGCATTTTTTTCGTAATTGGATTCCGCCCAATGTAAGTGTGTATTCTCTTCCTGTTTAGGCTTCTCTTTCCTTTAAACATTGCCTGATGTGTACAATAGCTTGCATGATTGCAATTGCTCAGCTGTTGTTGATTGTACTAGAAGTCTTGAAGTGCAAACTAGATGGCTACGCAAGATGAGAGATACTTTATCTGTTAACTTATTTAGTTGTACATTCACCGACATATGTTAAATTGTCATGGAATTCTAAAGCTTAAGTTGATGGATTACGGTAAATCTAATTACTAGTTCATACTGATATTGTGTTTAATGGTCTCATCTGGGTCATTCTAGTTTACAATACCAACCATAACTAGTTGATAGTTTAAGTGATCTGATCATTCTTTAAAGAAATCTATCACAGTTTATAGGAATCCGTCACAGTTCCTTTTCTTGCACTCTTTTTTGTTATCCTATTTTTTGACAAACGGGGTTGATCACCACTCAACCAAAAGTTGGAAGTCAAAAGGACGAAGTTAATTAATTCTTGCATTGGAAAAACTGAATGCCAATGCAAACTTTGCTCATAAGGTCTATGGAATGCTTAATTTTAGGAGGCTATGGTCTAGTTGTTTGGCTGTCTTTGTAAATGCTGATGGTGGAAGTTGCAAGTTTGTTCTTCCTCATTATTAAAGCTGAATTTCCTCTTCCACCATAAACCTCTATTTTTATTTCTACTAATTAATGTTTTATTTAATGCAAATTTGCTTATAGATTTATGATTCCAAAATTGTAAGAACTATGTTTTCCTGCCTCTTAAATCTTAACTAGGTTAAGAACAACAGTAGCTTGCAAATTTTGTTTTTGGTTTTAAGAAATTGGCTGGGATTATAAAATTGTTTACAAATTGTAAGTTGCAAAAGAAAGAAATTTATGATTACTAAACAAATTGTAAAAAATTGAAATTGAAAATGAAAATAATTTTTATTTATTTATTTATTTTTATCAAATCAGCCCTAACCTTAGTCTTTCATTATAATTACTAAACAAAAGTCAGATTCTCCTTGATGTAGACTTCAAATTGAATGTAATAAAGTAAGGCCTCAAATTGATCAATTATCTAAGGAGAATAATGTCCTATGTGTCAACATTTTTCTTAAATGATGAAAATGATGAGCATTCTTTTATTTTTTATTAAAAAAGTGTGGAGTGAAAATTTGAACTTTCAATTTACGAAGCAAGTTGTTGAGCTATACTACTATTGACGATAATTAAAATTTTTTTTTACACAATAATATCGAAGAAGCCAACAAAAATGTTCTTTATAAACAAACTTAAATTAAAAAACTAAAAACTAAAAAAACTAAAAACAAAATAGTTTCCAATGATCTATCTTCATCTCTAAAATATAAATATCCATATTATCAATTCTATTTCAGGACAATTTCATTAATTAGTTTGAATATATATAATACATTGAAAGTCTTTAACATTGGAAGTGTCAAAAAATAAGAATTGTTGTTCACTTCCACCTATATATATATATATATACTCAATTATATCCTAATTAAGATAAAAGAATAATGAAAAAGAAAATGATAGAAAATATGGGTTGGTCTAGAATATTAAAGTCAAACACTATAATATTTTTCAGATGTTGCTCATGTCAACAACCTCTTACCTTATAGCCAACCAAACAAATAGAAATAGGTGGTATAGAAAGCAAATAAAAAAAAATGGTAAAAAAAAGGAGTGATTTAGTCCATAAACTTTAGTTTGTTACGATTTAATTCTCATACTATAAAATTTGTAACAATTTTGTTTATGAACTTTAATAGGTAACACTTTAATCATTATAGTTTAAAATTTGTAATGATTTAGTTTGAAAAATATTGTTGAGGTTTAATGAGATTTCTTGTATACGTTGAGTAGGGACCAAATACATAAACTACAAAGACTAAATCATTATACAATAAAAAAAATCAATATGTAATTTTGATGAAAATTTTTATAATAGAGATTAAATTGTTACATATTAAAGTTCGAAAACTAAATTGTTACAAATTTAAAAGTTTAATAACTAAATCAAGTTAAATTGTTTTTAATTAAAAAATTTTGAAATTTTCATCCACATTGTATAGTAGCATTGAATAGTGGTCCACAACCACCAATTTGAAAAAGAATTAAGTAGTCCACAACATCTTAATTAATATTTGTAAATTGATTTCAATCAGTATTCCTAATTAACCCTATAGTTAATTATATTTATCATTTGACAGTATTACATTTGGCATTATCGAGCCGATAAAATTAATCAATCAATCAATTAATATTGTTTTCTAAGTGTGGGTGAGCCAATAAATTATGAGACCACTAAGTTTGGAAATTCTCTAAGCCAAGAATAAAGAGAGGTGGGTAAAATATCATTTTTAAAAACAATTTCCTCTTAGGGCAAAAAACTACTTTCGAAAGTAGTTATAAGATGGAAAAATTAATAATAATAAAAAAAAAGATATAGTATTTTACCAATAAAATATGGGAAGGGTTGGGTGGCAAAAATCTTTTATATATTTTAAAAAAATATGTCACCCGTTTTTTAAAAATTTAAAATATAATACAAATTTTCACTTATATCAGTATTAGCAGTATATCAGATACTCATAATATCAGTAGTATATCAATAGTATATTAGACACTTATATCAGTAGTATATCACATATATTTATCATATATATTACAGATATATTACAGATGTATATTATTGGTAAAGTTGTCATTTTAAAATTGAACCTTCGTTTTTTTTTATTTAAAAAAGGCGCTATATTTGAAAAAACTAAATATGGTTGCTATTTTGTTAATTTTATCAAATGTTTTTGTCATATTTGCAATTGCCCCTATAAAATATAGAAAAGATAATTAATCACATTTCAAAGTTGAAGGTCTGAATCTTTACTCTACCCGATATCTAACTATTTATTTAATTTTCTTAACCATACGAGAAGTTAATCTTTTAGTACAACAAAGGTGGGGATGGAGATTTAATTGACGAACTTTAAAAAAAGAGCAAGATATTTTAACCGCTTAATTATATTTATATTGGCACGATTCATTCTAAAAAGAGAATTAAATAATAGCATTTCTAGAAGCCTCTCCACCCCATTATAAAAAAGAACAAAAATATAAATTTGCATGATTAAAACCATCTTTCAATCATCACAAGAAACAAAAAAAAAAAAATGAAGAAAGAAAATGACCCACAAAAATATATAATCACATATCTAATAGGATAGTAGGACTATGTCAATGTTTGAAAAGAACATAAATTTCTATTAATTTGGACTGCAAACCAACATATTTATGTTATATTATAAAGTTAATTTTTGGTAGCCAATATCCAAGTGGTAGGCACTACCCACCAAAATGGACTGAAAGAAACTCATTCAAGTTTGAATAAAATAAAAAGGCTATATAAAAGTAGAAAAGTCTTCATCCTTTTTTGGACGATAATGTCATTTTAGTTATAATAACTTAATTTTTACCCAAATAATACTCTTCCCATTCACCAAAAGGCTAAAGATATGAAAAAGTAAACCAAACCATAAATCGCTTGCTATATTAACGGATCAAGCTAATTAAGCTTTACGAAAATAAAGTACGAGAATATAAAAGATAACGTATGAACCCAAAATTTGAGTAGGAATTTGAAGTTGATACTTGATGGCCTTGATGCTGCATCAACAGGCGAAATCTTGATTCTGAATCTTAGTTCAAATCATGTACCTGCAATGTTACATCAAGAGCGTTACATGAAGTTAAAAATTTATATCTAAACTTAGTCATAAACAATTAATAAATATATGATTATTTTCCAACATATAAATTATGAAGTTTGGTCAATAGAAAGATAAGTTGATGACTAATATAGGAATATATCAATCTACAAACATGAAACAATCAACCATAGATTATTAGCCAAAATAAGAAAAAAAGGCATAATATGAAAGAAAAAATAATTAGAAATAAAAGAGTCTAAAATAATTGATATGGAAATTTTTTCCTTTGACTTTGCAAAAGAAAAAAAAATGATAAATTTTTTTGAACAAGTTGGTCCCATATTCCTCCAGCCCATCCTTTTTGAAAATCTACAATTAGATTCTTCAAATTAATTAATTAATAAATGGCACATTATAAATACAATTATATTAATTAAATACTGTTTGGTTTGATTGTAAGAGTAAAAGAGAAAAGGTTTGAATTTAAAGAATGAAAGAAAAAATAGTAGATTGTTGTCAAATTAAAAAACATAAAACGTAGAATTAAAAAAATGGGTCACAATATTTTATGCAATAAATTTCATGGAATAGTCTCATTTTCAGGAAAAAAAAAAAAAGGAATGGTAAATATGTAATTATAGTAAAAAATTTCGTAGTATATATTTTATTTATATTGAACTCGTGAACCTCTAATAATTATCATTTATTTTTATCTTTTTGAAACAATAATTATGGGTGCGTGAGCAATTTGGTTCAAATACAATTTAGGCAAAAAGTGATATAGAATAGAGATATGATTATCCAAATCTAAACATAGCACACCAGTTTAAGTCTCCTATCTTCGATTAAAAAATCGTGAATTCGAATCTCTACCCGATATGTTATATTAAAAAAGAAAAAAAATGCATATAATTATTGTGGAAGTTATTGATACCTGTACTGTATGAAGTAACATCTTACTATGCGAGTATGAACTTTGAGCCTACTAATAAGTTGCACCAAGTTGGTTTCTCGAGCTTAATAAAATGCATAGAGATTACGTACTTTTACGAAAGTGGGACTCTGCATTTTATAAAAAGACTATTGCAAATGACGCTATGTAATTAAATGTATCTGTCATTTAGCGGATCTTCTGTCGATTGTTAGTAGATTATCCGTCAACTAAAATGACATTCGGTCAACTATCAACAGATCTTCCACGGGCGTAACCTCCCCATTTTCTCAGTCCAGCTTCACTTTGCATTATGCACAGTTGGCCACTCCAACCTCATCCTCAACATATCCGAGTTGTGATCAAATTACCCATGTTTCAAGACGAGAGGGGCATATGTTTAATTTATCTTTGATTGATTTCACCTCTACCCACAATAAATCATAAGAATCATGATACATTAGATATAAAACTAATGATTAATTCAAATATGATCAAGTAAATCGTAATAATTA